ACGAAAAACGTAATACGGACCTCACGTGACTATAAGAGCGAACGGAACTCTAACTCGATGCTATTGAAGTAATTGTAGAGTAGCATGCACCAAGATTCGATATGCACTCACGTCATAAGGACCACCCGCCGATGCGTCCGAAAAATTATTTCTGAAACTGTACTAAAAGCAACATTTCCAATCTTTCTCAAATTTTAACTCGAATAAAGTCCCATCGTATAAATCTAAACGGAATGAGTAATTTTGCTGAAGTATATCTAAAAATTTAGATATAAATCTGAAAATAGTTTTATTTTTAGAAATATAGATCTGAAAATAATTTTATTTTGATTATCAAAATAATTATGTGAGACGCTCAAATTAATTATTAAAATGTTAAAATCTTTTGTAACATTGTTAATAACGCTTAAGTTTCTACATGTTCAATTTGACGATCAAAATTATTTACAGATTTGTATCTAACTAAATTTTTAGACTTTAGCAAAATCATTCTTTCTACTCTATCTTATTACATTGAAAGGACAATTTTTTATCTTTTCCCTCAAAGATCATAGTTTGTCAAGAGTGATTTCATTACCAAATATCGTATTTGAATCTCGACTATAATGATTAAAGATTGATCGGTCAACTATTTCCGGATTACTTCAAAATACTATTTCGCTTCTGATCAATCAATTGTGTAACGTCCTTGTAAGCTTATGTTAATTGTACTATACGGTGCGTAGCTCTTAAACTCAGTTTCATTGCGCGGATAATGATTGTCAGATCAGCTCGATCAGACTTCTCGATATTTATGTCTGCTCAGCGAGAGGCCCTTACGTCGCGTTATATAGGGGCCGAAAACATCGCAACCAGGAGAAGACCTAACGACTAAGTTTCTTTTTCACAGCTCCTTCTAGTCCTTATATTTGTATTTTTTGCATCTTTATTTTATCCTTCTTTGACGTGGGTTAACGCGCTGGCAGTAGCACACATTTAAAATCAACGACGATTAGTCGGAAAAAAAAACGTTCTTGATTTAAGTGACTGGTTACAAAAAAGAAAAAGAAGGCAAGAGGGAAGGGATCCTCAGCGAACCATGTTCCATCTTCCGGCGATCGAATCTCGCGTATCTCGTCGATCCTCGAACGAGAAATTGGAGAGAGAGAGAGAGAGAGAGAGAGAGAGAGAGAGAAATAATTGTGACAATGGGATAATCGCGACACCGCGATGTAATTTCCAAAATTTAAAATTAATTAATTAAAATTAATAATGAATGTTGACAGTAAATTAAAATTTTTAATGAATATTAAATTAAAAATAGATATTTTTACTGTTGTCATTGGAAAATTCTACGTAGCTACAAGTATCCTATTGTCAATTTACCTTATCTTTAAAGTAAATTTTTCCGATCTTTGAGTGGCCTCGACATTTCGAGGAAGACACGGTCAAAGAAACGGATAAAGCCAAAGAAGGGAACGATAGTGGAGTAAATAAAGTAACGTAGATAACGAGATCCGACAATTTAAGTACATTCCTTCATTCTGGACGAGGGATATTCTCTCTTCGTAGGAAAATGGAACATGGAGAACCAGCGGAAATCAGAACCAACATAAATTCCGTCGGCTCGAATTTTCCGACGCTGCTATGACAAGAAAAAATACATCTCGCATCGCGTTGTAGCGATTAAAAGAACAAAACAATAAAATAGCGTCGGAATTTAAGTCTATCGCGATTGTGCGTCGATTTCCATCCAAGCAGAGCAAGTCACGATAACGTCAAAGTGATTGTCAAAGTAAAAGTCAATCATTTACATTAAAATAAATCGTAAATGATTGACTTTTAGTAATCATTTTGAAGCCATTTTGACGTTGATATCATAGAGTGCTTTCGAATTGCTTATCATATCTTAACATGAACATATACAGGAATGCACAAGTGTAGCGACTCAATTAGAACAAAATGTATATGCTGTGCAACATTTTGAATAGAGTTAAATTAAATGTAACTTTTTCCGCATTGAATGGAAAAAAATAAAAGCCGGCCACTCAACTTTATTTATAGCCGCAATTAATAACATTGTCACTATTGGTTGTCACTAAAAACATAAGCTTACACAACCGACTAATAGCTTTCGGGCTGAGTACGGATGTGTTGTTTCGATGATTACAGTAATTGGAACGCAACACGGAAAAAAATAGATTTAGGTGATTCAGTGAAGCTTATATTAACAAATTTGCTATGCTATTACAACAAATATAATACTCATTTTATTCAACTGTACAATTTTGTTACTTTAACATAGAAAACTAGCAATCCGTATATTACAGCTGTAGATTTACTGAATCGGTAAAGTTTTTAATTGTTTCAATAAATTCTTTTTTTTCCGTGAAGGTGTACACAAAAATGTCCAGTGATTTTATAATTGGAAAGCACCCGCGGTGATTTGTATGCTCTGCTTGAACATCGTCCCGGGGCCACGAAAACTCACGGTGGCGATTCCCTGGAATGCTGATCGACGACGAATTTCGGTCGACACGTTCATTAGGGAAGGCGCACTCGCAGCTCCTTCCCCGACACAGGGACTCCCTCGACTTTAAGTTACAAGATTTATAAATAAAAAGAGAAGCGCGCGCGACAGATTGAGTAAAATTAAATTAACTTACATTACAATATCAAGAGCGAGAATGCTCCTCCGACTCTCCGTCCGTAACGACATCATTGTACGTTGTTGTCGCGTATATATTTATTCGCCGCTCGATCACACTCGACGCTGTCGCTCGGCAAAGAAGAATATTGGTAATGAACCGTCCTATGTATATAATTCGCGGTCACATCATTATATTTTCTCATCATACGCTAAACAACTTTTTTTTCCTCTTACTTATTTCTCTTATTTCTTCTTTTTCATTCGAACGAGAAAGTGGGGACGGGATTCTCTATCGGACGACGATTCCCAACGCTCTGAGCCCCCGCGATTTGTCTCGAGAAGTCGAGAGAGAAAGAGAAAGAGAAAAGGATAGAAAGAAAGAAATTGAGGCTCTATCCGCCAGAATCGCGACGGAATTCGGTTCTTCGAGATAGACAAGAAGAGACACAGACAAAAGAAAAAGACACAGATAAAAGAAACAGAGGGGATGAATGAAATGTTTTCACAGAACGCGAGGGAGACACACCGAGAAGAGAGGATTCGAGACGGGACCGGATGTACTGCGAAGCGGCCTACTTGGATCATACATTTAGATGAATTTATTTATTTATTTTTTTTAATAGAGACAAACATTAGAAATAGTCAATTACTCCTCTTTAAGACATTCATTTTTTTACACTTAGAAGCTATAAATTAAGGATAATTTACGTTATTAAAATTTAATTTCTATATAATCTATATTTCTGAAATTTTTTTGTGTAAGATATATTAAAATACATAAAAAAATAATATTTCCGAAATTTATAAGTTTAAGAAAAATAGTAAGAATCTTTTTAAAAATTAACTGTGCGATTAAAATTGGGCGTTTTTTTAAATCGAAATTTATGAAAAATATACTTTTCGAGTATTTTGTATTTGGTTTCTGCTTCTTGCTAATTATTCTTGATTTTCTGCTTGACCAGCGACACGTAGAACCAGGCCCGCTCACGAGAGTGACGATTAATGAAATTGTGAAGATAGAAGAGATCGAGGCGTGATGGTGAAGATGTAAGTACATTCAGCCTCGAGTCGCGTATACGTTTCCTGACGTCGCATATACGCGAGAAGATTCGTGGTAAGTGGACCTTCTCGAATACCTTTCAATTGTCGATCGCGAGCGAGCGATTATTATCGCTCGAAGCGGCACCGAAACGCGCGTTTTTTATCCCCCGGACGGGGGCGGAAGATAATTTCTCTTCTTTGTTAGTCGCATTCGCGAAGGACAGTTAGAAGTGTTAATTCGCGAGAATTTATCTCTGTCGAGGTAGATTGTCACCAGTAGCGTCATCATTGTCGTCCTCGATAATCCATTGGATCGTCATCAGTCACATCACGTAGTCATCAAACGAACAGACATTCACATTCAATCCCAAACAGGCAAGCAAACGAATGACGGGGGTGATCACTGCTGACCATCAAATTGGCGAACACAAATGTGAAAAGATTTCCTGAAGAAATACTACATACAAATCGATTTTTAGGATAGCGGATACTTTTTTCGGTCACACAATTTAGAAAAAGTTATTTTTGATATATTTATTATATGGGATACATAATCTAATTTTATTGTTCAATTAAAAATAGTTTTTTTTTGTCATAAAAGAGAAAATACACACATTTTTTATTCTATGGAATTTTTTTCTATAAAAGATACACTATAATACATAAGAGTTAAGTAGGGCTAACTTTTCGTTATTTCATTATATCACCAATTATTAGTCAGTAGTAAAAATAGGTAGATAGATAAATAAGTAAAAACGGTTATACGAGGTCGGTTGGTAAGCGGACAAGCACTTAAGCGCTGTCTACGTTTGTCAAGTATACGGATAAAATACTATTTTCATGTACGGACATCATCATCTCTCCGAGATAATCGATTTGGTCATTTAATATATAATATCAGACTTTACACGGGCTGCGACAGCTTGCTATTTGTTGCGATTCAATACGAAACATATACAAAATTTTTATTTAGAAAAACTCTTAGAAAAATTAATCCCGTTTACTAATATCTTGGGGCATTTAGAAACGTTTCTATTTCTACTAACTACATTATTGACTATATCTCTTTTACAATGATATTTCTTATGTAAAAATTAGTATTCTAGAATTTTTTAACTTTTCAATAATTATATCCTTTATACTGAAATATTTCGTTTTTATCGCTTTCTTTATTTTTATAATAATTTATTCGCTTAGTCTTACTAAATAAAAAACATTGCTACTTCTAGTGTTAAATACAATACTTGAGATGAAAATCTTTTGTCAAATCACGTAATAAATAATAAAAAATATAATTAAATATCGTACATAATTAGTTAATGGACTGATTTCGGGAATGTTTGGAAGTATTTCGCAAATTACGCGGCAAAAATGATACATCGAAATTATATTTTGTTATTTTTTTTACAGCAGATAATCGCGTCGCAGTCCGTATCATTGTCATTCAATGAACGATGGAACTCTAGAACGTTATCCTAAAATGCGAAAATAGTACTTTCACCAATGAACACAGAGTCGGGGTACGGGAAAAAAAGCAGTAGAAAGCGAGACCCCTGTAAATTATCTGATATAGTGTACAGCCTATGCACGAAAACGTGCCATTCGCAAACTGTCGCGATATTCGCGGAGCAAAATCTCTCTCCATTTTGGCAACCATTTCTTCCTTGCTTTCTCACCAACCGCAGTCTCGTCCGCTTTAAGTACTTAATACAGCATTCTCGATTTTAGCGAGAGTACGTGATTTGCGAATGCCGCGCTTTGTTCGTGTGTGTAGGCATTATCCTCCAAATTGGCGCGTTTCGACCCCTTTGAGATCAGATCAGGTCCGCCGTCCCCATTGAGCGAGTGGTAAAAATTTTTTTTATCGGAGAGGCAAAGAAGGGCGACGGAAGAGAGAAAGAATCAAGGGGGACAGAGGACTCGGCGACCGAAACGAGCAAAATCGTTCGGTAAGTACGCTCTCGAAAAGAGAGATGGTAGAAATAGAGATGAATGATGACGTATCTTGAAAGTAGAGAAGAATAGAGGGAACGCGTGAAACGAGAGTGAGTCCATATCATTTACGTGGATACCCTCGCTCTATCGATCGAATGAGAACGAGGTCGCAGGATCGAGCGAAATCTCACGATGTATATGAGGGCGAGAGATTGCAGGGATAGAATATGTACAAGTCCCTCTACATAGTAGAGGAAGAGAAGAATGACAGGCGAAGGAAATGAAATAAGGGATATCAAATTAAAGAATAGACAGACAGCAAAAAACGGTAAGAGGAATGAAGTTGAAGCTCTAAGTCGCAAATAGACAGTGAACAAAGAATATGGAGAAGGATGGAAGGAGGCTGTGGAATGAGACAATACATAGAGAGAGAAAGTCTAAATCTTTAGATGCTGGTCTCGTGCACGAGCTTGGTCAGTTCCGGTAGGACCAAGTTATTGGAATTCAGAAGCAGGGAATTCCCAGTGTTGTCTCTATTGCTGCTCATCGGCGCCATGTGGTTGGGACTCAAGGGTTGATTAGGGACGTTACTAGAGGGGGATCTATTGTCGGTGATGGTGTAATGATGATTGTACGCGTTGGCCGGCCCAGTCACGCTCAGCAACAACGGTGAGGCGGGGCTGTTGAGGGACTGTTGCATCCTGGAGGATCCTCTGTAGTTTGTCTCATAATCCTGACTCATCATCGGCTCGGCACTCCTATTAGAGGACTTGTTGTAGGCGGCGTTCTGCGCGGTGGTGGTGGTGTTTGTCGGGTCTTCGTCAATGTATGTGAAGTCAGAGAGTGGTCGGGGCCCGGTGTGGCTGCGTGAACTGCGCATACTGTGTAAGCTGTGTAAACTATGGACAGAGCGACGCTCCTCCAGATCTTCCAGAGTCGACTTGAACGCTCTGATTACTCGAAGCTGCAAAAACAGGGAAGGACGTTCTATCAGGAAGCGAGGAGGCAAGCCAGCAACACACAAGCACGCCGTATATTCGTATTTTTTTCTTTTTTTTCGCGCAGAGGTGTGTTACAGTATGTCCCCCTTTTAACTTTATTGAATGTCCCCTGAGTGTCGGCGTACTTCTGGTCTTGTCGTTATTCTGGTAGCTGTAGTCATGTTTTTATGATTATATAGAGATGTGCGTTTTTTTTTATTTTAATTTTAATTTTTTTAGAATAACCGCAAATGTGTTTATCTCTCCTTTTTCTTTTTGTCCATGACATGAGTTCCTTCGCCTGTTCGACTTGGTTGCATTTCACCCGAATTCGTAAATTAAACATCAGGGGTAAACTGAGCTAAACGGAAGGGATATCATTAAAGTATGTCGAAAGGATTCAAATCCCTCACAATTTCGCTGTACCGAATATCGAATAGTGCAAGCTAGAATTGTATGGACTCAGTTACCGTCATCACATGCGCAATCTACGTCAATTTTATGCGTACCTACCTACCACACGGCGATTTGTGGGGTTTCGTGATGAAGTTTGTAATCGGGGAACCAACACGACCGAATGCGGACAACGCGCGAACATCCTTGTAGACAAAGCCTCCTTTCGTCACTTTGAGGGTGTTAGAGACGCTAATAACGAGTATCATTATCCCTTGCGATCTAGATTTGACTGGGAGCGATCGCAAATGAGAATGAAACAACAAGATGTGAGATTTGTTCTTTTTAACTCAACTTTTTGCACAATTAATTTTTTTCTCTTTTTCTTTCCAACGTGGAGGAAAAAAAAAAGAAAAGATAAATCGTGTGAGAAATTTAGCTAACAAAAACAGGCCCATAGTAATAACGGATGGAGCCAAAAGGATCATTAAAAATACAAATAAGCAAAGCAAATCATATTCTATCAAACTTGAACTGAAAATCGTAAGTTTCATTCAAAAATATTATTAAACATCAAGATTTGTTTAACTAAATATGGCTGTCTTCACTTATTTGTGTTAGTTATCTCTTGGTCAATTTGTTACTATTATTTAAAAATATTTCAATATCTTTTATTCTTCTTTACTCACTAATGTCCGATTTTAATCCGGGAATGGCTACTTGGGATATTTTTATATCCTAGAGGTGAAAAAATTGTTATAAAATATTGTTTTGAATATAATTTGTTTAACTTTTTTTTTCTCTAATAACTATTTATTTAAATATGCAATTCCATCAAAAGCTCGCAATAAAAAAAGCGCCATACAAATTAAAATCTTTATTATTTAGAAATACTGTCATAATAAGTTATTTAACGTGCTTTTCCAGTTTAAAATCTTTCTTCAGAAAATTGTAATTAAATCTATACCTATAATATTCTTAAATATTAATAAATTGAAAATCAATAATATAAGTTAATAATTGTGTTACAAAATCTATGTTGTTAATAGTGATTTTATAAAAACATGTAATCATTTATGTAAAAAAATCAGGTGATTATTTCCAGGTTAAGAATATCGGTTAATAAGCAATACTAGGTTTAATTCTAATTTATGGTTCTAAGAAAAAATAATAAAACACTTCAACCAAATTTAAAATCAAATCAATGAAAATGATTTCATAAGTAGAACGAAATAACAAAATATTCATTAGAAAATGTTTTACGTAAATTACTATACTTTTTAGAAGATCAATGTTCTTACCTTTGTTCCAATTAACTCGACGATACATACATATTTGAAAGAAATACATCGAAAAAATATACAATCAAAATAATTGAAATTATTTGCAAAATGCAACCTAGTACAAGTCTAATACCTTTTTCTCTACGTCATCAAGATCTGTATTAGGTTGCATTTCGTTTTCTACAATTAAAAAAAATGTGTTTGATTGCATTAATTGGAATTTTGGTTCAAAATGGACAAATCTAAATTTTCTGATTGAATCTATTCTAGTGGAGATAATCAGAATTCTGATCAATATGATCAGAATCTTCTAGTTTGTCCATTTTTAATCAGAATTTTTTCTCAGTGAATCATCATCTGAATAACAATCGATATAAATCAAATAATCGTAAAAAAATAAATTAATTAACGACAGTCACCCTCTCATTAGCGATCGCTCCGCGACTCATTTTGACGCCAAAGGGAAACGAGCAGAGCTTCGCGATTATAGAGATGCCAACGCGAGTCGAAAATAGTTTCGTAATAGTTACCCAATTAGAAATGGTCCGCAACAGTCCTGAACCGTTCGCGAGCGAGTTTGCCAAAGCATTCGCACGCTTGTAACCGCTCCTCTTGGAGTGTCAACAGAGTATATAATAGGGTAAGACAGAAGCTTCAGACAGAGACAGACATAGTGTGGTTTTGGTGATGTTGGTGTAATACGAATAACAGTTAATAAAGCGAAGGAGCACTATATAATGGAGATTAAGAATATAATGCACGTTCGTGACAAAGAGAGACAGGGTGAGTCAGTTGCTTTCCTACATTATAAGTAATCTTCGCAGTAGTAATAGCTTCACGCATGGTAGCCAGTTTCGACACACTGTGTGCGGTTTTAATACTTAACGTTTTCTCTACATAACTACGCAAGTCTCATATGCTGTGATCAGACATGTTCTCTTACTAAAGATTCGGAGAGATAATTCAGAACGGATTGAAACGATTTCTCCGGTCGTTTTGTTGTAGGAGATTCAGACGTTCGAGTATCCGAGAGAGGAAAAAAATTGTGGTCAACGCCAGATCAGACAGGACATTCGAGATAATAAAAGTTCCTTTCGAAGAAGTGGAATGTAAGAAACTAGAATGAAAAGAAACGCGAAAAATCTCTATGAGATTATTATTACTGATTTAAATTATGAAGAGATTTTTCTTCTTTCGCGTCTTTTCGCCTCGAATATGCTCGATCTGGCTCTGATCTTTCTGACACTCGATGCGCGAAGAAGCATCTCTCTTCTCGCGATCGGAGTCACGATGCATGCTAATAATCGCGTTATAATTATCGATTGGGATTCGTTTATCTTTTCTTTCTTTGTTCACAATAACACAAATTAAATAAGTGTAACGTGTTAAACCCTCTAGTTGGCACTCGAAACAACGGCGGTGTTAGACCTTGGGCAAACAAAAAATAAAGTCGATGCATATAAATTATATAAATTGGCCAACCGTGCACACGCACACTCACACACTAACAAAAAGGGAATAGAAGGAAGGTAATGGGAGTTTCAAATCGAATCGACGATTATCTTCTTTACTGACTCGAGAGAAACTAATTAATGAGAATTAAATTAGACACTTTGAATATCTTTGAGAAATGCGTGTGTTATATTAATCCGCCAGAGCTAATGCCAAAATCTATAAAAGTTGTTAGGTTCCATTTAATTTGTTTAATTTGCTATCTGCAATCTGAGTTTTTTTTGTAT